TCCCCTCCCTTACAGCACCCCATGGCCACTGATTTCAAGACACGGGGTTGCACACACCCAGGCAGCACATCGTGGCTGATACTTGTCACACAAAGCTGGCCAAAAAATAAGAAATACAACAGGTTTGGGTCACAGGGAGGAAAACTCCCAGCTGGGAGACTTTAAATGGGCAGAAGAGACAAAGAGAAATTTCAGTGCAGGGCTGGCTGTGAGGCTGCTCACTTATTTCACCTCTCTGTGACCCACACTCTGCTTGTACCAGAAAAGCTTCTCCACACAGGTGCAATCCCTTCCCCACCAGGACCAAGTCCTTCTCCCTGATGCCTACTCACATTTTCACCCATTTTGCTTACACCCATCATGCCCAGCTTTAAGATAATTCATCTTTTCCCCCCTCCCTCATCTTTCCTGCTCTTTATTCAGAGGAAAAAATCAAATACTGGGCACACAGGAGGGTGTCTGGACAGGGCAGGCAAATGGATTTGTCTGTACTTGCAAAAGGACTGGGCTTTGGACTGAGGTTTCCCTGATGCAGCCTCCTCCCTGCCTTAGAAACCCCAACTTGTGTAGTATTTATTTTCATTCTCTTCCAAGCCTTAAGAATAAAATACATATTTTCAGTGTGTGGAGGATTTCCCATGTGCTCCTCAGGATTGCAGAGCACTCCAGGGGAGAACTGAAATAGGAATTGAACTGGAGGAGGTAGTGGGTACGTGCTATTTTGGGGTTTTTTACATCCATATTTTTCAGCCTCTGGATTGTCAAGAAGCAGGTTTGTAGGAAATGGCTGGTTTGGGGGAACGGGTGACTGAATAATCAATCACAACTGCTGCAGAAGGTGGGGTTTCAATATGAAAGACACACTTTTCAAACAGGAAAAAGCTGACCTAGTTGAAAACCCAGCGAGCAGCAGGTCAGCTGATTTCTATCACCATTATAGATATTTATTGGAAAATGCAGCACTTAAGGAGCACAAAGAGGGCTGGGAAGGGACCAGGAAAGATTTCTACACTTGCCATGGTAGATGTTCAGTGAGGATCCTCCTGAGCAGAGCCTGCTGTTCCTGCTCTAAGGTAAGATCATCCCAAGCTGCCCCGAGTGAAGCTACCTCAAAATCTGATAGAGATCCCAATGTCCAAAATTTAGATATGCTGGACTGCCATTTTCCTGAGCAGACAGGTCCATCTGCCCTATATATGCCCCAGGGTGTCTCCTAAAATTATGAGTCAGGCCACACACAAAACTTTTCCACCTAAAACATAACACCTGGGGAGTGCTTTTGAAGCCTGTGAGCCATGTCACACCAAAACCCACAGGAATACTCTGGTTATTGTGAAGAAAATCAACTCTGCTTCAGCTGGTTAAATTGAGAAGAAACCAGCAGGAGCTAAAAGAAGATGTTTGCAGGATGCAGTTTTCCCCTGGAGAAGGTGGCTCTGGAGAGGGTTACAGGGGAGAAAGGTGAGACCTGGACAAATCTCACCCACAACAGCTGGGACTAAAAAACTGACCATGTAAAAACCCAGGAGAAGTTTAGGTTAAAACTTTCAGCAGTTCCCATGCTACCTTCAAGTCTGGTATTTTTTCCCCTTACTAATAGAAGGAAAAGTCCTGGCTAGGGGAATCTTCTGCATTATTTATTGGCAGCTCATGCCAGTGTGTTTAACATGGGCCCTTGAGATAGAAAATAGCCTGCTCGAGCTCAGCTGATAGGGGAAATGTGTACAGCAGCATCTGGAAAAGTAATGGAAGTATTATCCCTCAAGGACTACCTGCTTTACATACAAAACACTTACCAAGCACAGTCAGAAACCTGAGGGGGTTTAGCTCTTGCTGATCACGGAGCTCAACCAAAATTACACTGCAGTTGGGATGTGTCTAATCCTTGGTGCAATCATTTTCCTTGGTGGAGGGATAAGGCCAATGACAAAATACTCCAGGGTCCAGGAAAAAAGTGCCAGATACCAAATCCTGAGCACCAAGAAGAACCAGCCTCCCAGGAGCAGGGATGGATGGATCAGGCCATCAGTTATCTCCCACATTTCAGTGAGCAAATACTCCGCCCAGTTGCGAAATTTCCCTTTTACCACAACCAAATTAACAAAAAGCAGCCAATGGATCCGATTGGTTTGATGTTTATGGCAATGCTGCAGGTCTTGGCCAGGATCAGGGCTCTCCCTACCAACCCAAACCATTCTGTGATCTATGTTTCTATAAAATATTAGCACTGAATTTGTTCACAAGGACAAACACAAGAGCTTTGCTCACTGGAAAGGACGGGAGGAACCCTGGATCCCAAGGTATTTAGGGACACAGTGCCAGCTTTTTACTTGTAAACTGCATAAGCCCATGGCTCAATTACTCCTGATGGATGGGGAATTGGAGGTGCTTTGTTTATAGTCCCTTCTGGCAGTTTTGGGCTTGCACTTTCTATCTTCTCCCTTGTAAATATGCAGAGACACAGCAGTTTTTAACTTCAGCTTAGTTTACAGTTTTACATAAAATTGAAGACCTGATTTCATGGAGTCAGAAAAGATGCAGCCCGTTCACCACCCCCTTTAATTATATGTGCAGTTTTCTGAGTTTTCTTCTGAATCCTAATAGCTTATTGATTCTGTAGCTTCTGTGCCATCTTTCTTCTTTGCTTTTTTATTAACTCAGCCTGAGGAGAAAATAAACCTGTGGAGACTGTGAAACATCCTTAAAGGAGGGTTGGTTTAGCTGTATCTGGTGAGGTGGAATGAGCAATCCACTGCCAGTGAGCCTGTTGCATGTGGCATCTCTCAGTGAGTTGTTAGTGGAAGCAGAAATAGCTTTAAGGTTTACAAAAGCAAAGCACAAGGAGGAGAGAAAGATCAATATATAACTCACAGCAGATTTGGCCCCTGCATTTATCACTGGTTGTTTCTAGGTATGTGCTGTGAGGATGCTCTATTTTTGCCTCTCCCCGTGGCTCCTGGGCTACCTGTCAGCTCTGTCCTTCCTCCAGGGGAAACCAAAGTTGTCCTGGACTTGTGGAAACCTTTGTGGAGGTGCTCTGTGATTAGGATTTTGCATGGCAAGCAGCAGCAGGGGCAGCAATGCTAAACACGACATAAAAACATGTGATTAAACCTCAAAGCACCTCATTACAGACATGTCTGTATAAACTCCTGGAATATACTCCTGTATAAACTCCTAGATATATAGAGACTCAGGTATATGTGGAAAACTGTAAGATAAAGAAGGGACATTGGCTATAACAAATATGGAGAATCCAGCTGCATCACCACAGGAATGATCCTCTCTTTTCCTCTTTGGCAGCTGCTCCTTGTCTTGCTGCTACCTCCAGGAAAGCCCTGCAATCCCAGCTTGCTTATAGAAATTAAATATAAGGCAGTAAAGAATCAATCTCTGTGCATCACGCTCTGGTACCTGCTACCCCAGCTCTTACCAAACTCCTGGGGAATCCTGCAGGTAGAGATGCAGGCAGAAAAATCCCAGAGGTGGACAGGATTCAAACACACAACATAAAAGGCAGCAGCTCCAGGCTGTGTGCCTTTATACATCACTTTCCAAGAGGAGGAGAACTTCGCCATTATTTTTTTTTTTTTGCTTTATTTCATCTCCTTCACTGTGCCCACCTGCTTGTTAAATTATGAATTTAAAGGCTCAGTATTTTCCCAAGTGCTCTGGGGGAAGCTGTGCTTTCCTGCAGGCTCAGAGCTCCCCTCCACCCCATGCACTGAAACAGCACAGTGCTGGGGGCTGCAATGCAAACCTTGTCCTTTTTTGTGCCCCTCACTTGCCTTCCCTTGCCATGAAAACCCACCAACTACGTTCAGGGAAGGATAAAAAAAAAAAGGATAATCAGGCAAATTATAAAAGGGAGATTTTCAAAAGAACAAAGCACCTACTTCTCCCTTCCAAGCAACTGAAGAAGAGGCTTTGCAGCTGAGCTTAGAGCCAACTGGGTGATACACATTTTCCCAAAAACTGGCAAAAGTTACTGTAAAAAACACTCCATTGTTCAGCCAGGAAAAAAAGAACCAAACAAAACGCCCCCAAAATCCCCAACAAGAAACAAAACAAAGCAGTAGAACAGCTTAAAGCATTGCAACACTTCAGGACATGCAAGCTCCATTTCTTACAAGTTCTCTTTCACTCCAGCTCATTTCTAGAGCTCAGGTCCAACCTCAGCTCACATCTGGCCCATCCAATGAATTGGGGGCATGGGAAGATGTCTGCAATGAGCTAAATGAACCAATTCCCAGCATCCCTGGGAGAAAACTCAGCTTTCCCACCCCAGAGGTAGCTCAACTCAGTCTTCTCTGCCTCTCTCACTGGAACTGTCCTCGTTCCTGCTCATTAACCTGAGTGGATATTGCTCCTTTAAGTGATAATACTAATTAGGAAGTGGTAGAAGGCAGGGTCAATTTTCCTCACACCTACACAACAGGCAGCACACACACACCGTGGAACTGCAGCTGGAATTTAGGAGCTTTCCATGTAAATCCCATCTCACAGACCAATCTGAGCAGCCCAGGTTTGAGTGTCAGCAACGTCACACCCCCCTGGTCCAACCCCCCCAGATTCAGCACAGCTCACATAAAGGGGATTAAAGCAACATTTGCAGATGGTAACTGCCCAGCAACTGGTAATTCCTGATAGCAAGTAAGCTCCAGAGCAGGACATTTCGGAAGCAATGCCATGTACCCACAAAAACCATATCCTGGGCTGTACAACTCTTACATATGTAAGTGTCTAAAGTTCTCTTATCTTGCCCTTATTTTAATGTGTCTTCCTTTAAATCATCTGGGTTTTTTCCCCTGTACCTCCAAGCTCACCAAAACTCTTCCAAAGTAACAGGCACCAACAGGCTCCCCTTGAAATCCCTCCCTGCACCAGGATCATATTTTCCCACGACCACCACTTATTTCCTTCTCCCTCTTTAACTTTAAGGAAAACCTCAAGGGTTTGATTAGACACCAGCTTCTCTGGGAAATCATAATTTTTCCTACCTGAATTTCCTCTTCTAGTGGATGTAGGTACCACCTCTTCTTCCTCTTGCAACTGGGACCTTCTGCATGCCAGTCTAACAGATTCAAAGGCTTCTTGCTTGTTCATCCATCAGAAATGCAGCTTTTTCTCACCTGCCTCCAAAACCACCCAGCACTGCCCAGGAGTTTGCCCTTTCATCCTGAGAGCAGCAAGAGGACTTAAATAAGCATAATATTATTTTTATAAAGAGAAAGACAGAACCCCAACTCCTCGCCCTGTGCCTGAGGTGTCAGGGGGAGCATAAAATGGAAGGTGGACGTTTAGAACAAGATGGATGTGAAGAGCCTCACCTGGGGCCCCTAACGAGCACCAGCTTCTCCTCGTTAAGGGTCAGCCCTGCAGCAGTCTGTGAGCAGCCTCCAGGCTTTTTCTAAGACTATTCAAGCTCTGTTCAACACAGATTGGACAACCCCTTCTTGCAAAGACCTGCAGACCTTGCTTTTTAACAGGTGATCAGATTATCAAGGGCTGTGGGGGGCGATTAGAGAAGTTTCAAGGCTGATTGGATGCAACTGTAAGCCCTGAGATCAGCAGCAAGAAGTGCCTGGGAAAGATGAACCCACGGGCTTCAGTGAAAAAGTCTCTGCTGCATCTGACAGCTTTTGTTGTTCCAATTCTGCACAAATATCCCCTCTGAACTGACCAAAAATCCACATCCATGATGACTGGGCTCCTGAAGGTGCTCCGGAGAGAAAAAGTTTTCCCAAGTACAATGTAACTTTACTGCCATTTTCTACTTCTCTTTATCCATTTTCCACTTCTCTTTATCCATTTTCCTCTAAAGTCCAGACTCTCAAATTTCTTCCCCATAGTTCATATGTCCCCTCTGCAAACCCAGTGACCTCAACCTGCTGCTCCTTTGAAGAGAGGAGTTCCCTTGAAAGCAGTTCCCTCCTCTATCTACCTGCCTCTGCACCAGAAACTCTCTCCAAAGGCACAAGTTAATGGGTCTTCACACAACCACTAAAAAAACCAACTCCTAAAATGGGCTGAACTTCACCAAGAGCCACCCAGAGCAGGGGCAGCCATCAGACCAGAGCTGTTCCTTCATCACAACAGTTCTTCAACCAATTTTGGTGTCATTCCTGTTCCCTCAGCCCTGCTCTCCTCCCTGAAAACCCTTCTTTTTCCTCAGCTTTAGCCTCGGAGCTGCTACTCTGCTTCCAAGTGACACTGTGTCGCTGTCATCTCCGAAGACTTTTTTGAAGCATAAAAGCAGTACCTCTGAAATCCCTTCTCCTTGATGCAGCCTCCAGTTTTGGAGCACAAACAGCCTGGCCCTGACACTAAAGCTTTGTCTCACCTCCTGCAAACACAGAGCACCTTCCTCCCCAGTGCAGCAGCAAACAGGCCAGTTGGGAGCTGACTGGATACACATCAAATCCAACTCAAAGTGCAGGTACCTTGGTACAGTGTCTTCCCGTGACCTGCTGAATTCGCTGCACATTTCAAAGCTCCCAGTTTGCTCCTTGCTTTGAAACAATTCTCATCACCTTCCCAGCAGGTATCCCAGGTATTTTACATCCCAAGGAGCAGCTGGCACAAAGATTTTATTATTTATTGCTATGGTTGAAAGTAATAAATATCTGATTTGACACAGTTAAGTAAAATTGCTTTATCCAACGACTGACTAAATTTGCCTTCCCTCTTCTCATCCCCCCCCAGCAAGACTCCAAGCTCCAGTTTTTCATCTGTAATGGGGAGGTAATCTGGAATCAAGATTACCTGATGGAGACACAGGAGATTTAACATTATATTAAACATTTCATCTGCTGTTGTGGGCTGCATTAAACAACTGTACACGGTCACTGATCACCTGAACACCAGTATTGCACTTGCTGTCAGATAAAGCCTCTGATAACCAAATTATTATCAGAAGTATTTGATACCACTCTTACCTTGACTCAGGTATTTATTAGTAGAATTTAAGCTGTTTATAAAAATTTATTATTTTTTATTATGGGTGATAATAGAGTTAGCAGGAAGTTTGTCTCTGAATGTGCTATTAAACCTCAAACCTGTTCCACCGTTCTGTTAATAACAGTGCCTGACACAACCCCACACCAACAAAACATCACATGCTGTTTGCATGTGTACAAAACCCAAGAAAAACAAAGAAAATCAAACCTGCAGACACTGTCCTACACAGTCTGGGAAAGCACAAGCAAAGGAGTAATTCAAAAATCAAAGTGATAAAGAAAACCAAGGAGAGATCACCAGCAAGCCACAGGCAGCTTTAGAAATATCGATCATTTTTTGTTTAGAGTTCGTGCTGCAGCTGTGCCACACAATTATTTTACCACAAATCATTACAAATAAAAAACTTGTTATGGGAAAAACAAACAAACAAACAAAAAATCTAAGCATTGACTTGCAAAAACTGACAGGAAGTCCACAAAAAGAAAAGAAAGCACGCACAGGAAAAGTCGTGATTATTGGAGATGAAAGTTTTAACGTCTCCATTTGATTAAAACAGCAGGGATTTCAAATTCAGGCTCCATAATGTGATTTTCTCATTTGTATTTTGTTCAGGTTTCAGTTCCACACAGGTGCTGGGCTGGAGGCTGTTTATTGACTCCAGCTGAGTTGAAGCTCAACACCCACCACTGAGGAGGCACAGCCGGGCTGGCAAGTCCTGAGGCTGCTGGAGAGAACCATTTTTCATACAGCATTTTTATTAAGTTTTAACTCCTTTGGCTCCTCATCCCCCTGTTTACTCCTGCTCTCTGTGTCACTGCTGTCTGCTCAGACCAGGAACACTTTGGGGCTGGAACCATCACTGCAACAGGTTTGCACAGCAGCAAAAACAGAGCCTTTGCTGGTCCAACACTAAGCAACATTAATTAGCAACTAATTAGCCAGTGACATTTTCACTGTGTGAGGGATTCTCTGCGTGGTAATGGAAGTTGAAAATCTTACTAGACAACTGGGAAGGAACCAGCAATAAAACCATGTTTCCCTAATCAATCATCTTCCAACACTGTAAAATCTCTCAATAAACACTCTGAGCTTGGTCACTGCCCCACCTTGTGGGCTCAAGCAGGACAGATGTTATTTCTCCTGTGAATTTAGAGTACAGGAGCACAAAATGCTGATGTTCTTCAAGTATGTCCTCCTGCCATGCTCTAAATCAAATCCCACTTGTAAAATTCTTACCATGTTAAGCAGTACCAGGATCAGTTTATAACACTTGGGTTAAAATTGATTTCAAGTGTAAAATTAAGGCACTAAATTACATAAACTGACAAAATAAGGTGAATGTCCTACCAGGCCATTAAATGATGTGTTAACCTTGTCCTTCTTTACAGGAACATGTGAAATGTGCTTAAGCTCTCACAGCACAGGGTCAGTTGGGTGCTAGGAACATTGCTGAGCCTGAGGAAGGCCAAAGACTCCCTTGAGTGTTTTGAGCCCTCGCTCTTTGCTCAGAGTTGCTGCCTGAGGCATCTGAGAAATCATCACAAAGCATTTGCCAAGGTGGCACCTGGATGAAAACAAACCTGTAACACTTCTCCTGCATGACACTAATACCATCTTAATTGTTCCTTGCTGGAAAACAGCAGCTCCTTTGTGCCTCAGTTCTTTCACTAATGTGAAATGAGGGAGACAAGAGCTGCAAGATTAACTGCTCTTCCATCTGGCTTCAGGAGAAAAGTAGTGAAGTTTCCAAATTAAGGACTTATTTCATTACAAAAAGCTGAGATACACAGGATATCCCTTCCTCCCTTCTAATTCAGCAGAGCCAGAACTGCCTCAGCTGAAATGGCAGCCAGCAAGAGAAAAAACTCCTCAGATTTCCATTAATAGCTGGGATATATTAATGATAGTAATTTATAGGTTTGCATGAGTGATTTTAATACTGATGTAGATACAATGGCTTTATAATACTAATCAAGAAATAATGATAACCAGCATTTATGTTAAATGTGAAGCTTGTGCTTTACAGTGAGGAAACAGAGACCAGCAGCCACATCCCCTGTCAGCATCAAGGCCACACCACTGCTGCCTCCTCCTCCTCCATCAGGTCCAGTCACAGCATGAATTTTGGGGATAACATATAATCAGTGTGTTTTCTCTCACAAATTACCCCATGACATTGCCATCTCTCTGATTGCTAAAAGCTGTCACTCGGCCATTCTTCACTTCACTGCATATTTTATTTCTGCTTTAATCCTTTCGTCTATTTTAGATTTATTTGTGGTTGTTGGCTGTTGTTAAGTGCCAAGGGACTCCTGCCAACTGTTCTTTTAAAACTTAGAAAATCTAAATTAATTGTGTTTGAAAACCAGGGGTTTTTGTCTGTTGCTTGTTCCACAACACTAAATTTTGTGTGCTCCGAATGTAATCAAAACAGAATGGGTTTTTTTCCCCTCCCCTGAAGGACTGTAAGAAAAACAGTAAAATTATCTGTGCCCCCATGTAACATCACAGTAGTATGTTCAGGGTATCTATTTTGTTTGAAAGGCACCATATTCTAACAGAAATAACACTTTTTCCATTCATTTATCTTAGAAAAAAATCCAGCCTGTTGGAGGATCCCTGCTGAGGAACTCTGGTTTTGATTAAAACAATAAACAAGTCCTGCTGAAATGAAACTCATGAATAGTTAACTCTAACAGATACCAACTTGTAACCTCAAAAAACCCTGATAAATTATGTCCTGTTTACTTAAGTTTTCCCAGATCAACTCTGCTCTTTTTTAATGAGACAATTCTGACACACACTGGAAAGCAAGAACAATTATAAAAACGAGCTGCAGCAAACATTTCTTGAGCAACTTAAGCACCACACTGAACAGTCAAGCAACAATTTGCTTAGTTGTTTGTTGCCTGAGGGTACGTGGCTACTCTTAACTCCATGATCATTCATGGCCTACAGATTCTGGTTTTCAAAAGAGATGCATCCCTTGTGCTTTCTGAAAGCTTTAAAACCCTTTTTATTTCCAATGCATGTTACATGAGATAAGAAATGTCAGCATGTTCTAATACACAAGCTCTTAAAATCAGGCAAAAAGTTTTGTTTCCTTAAACACTGGGAACAGAATGTAACTCTACTTTAAGATTTTAATTAAACATTGGAGTAACCTGTTCTTCATACTGCTCAAATACCTTCAGATAAAAAGAAACTAATTAATCCCATACAAGTTTTACATACTCCATTACCCAGATTGAATGTTTTTATTAAACCCTGTATGTATTAGTCGTGATTCTGGGAAAAATCCAGACTAATTTACCTGCATCAGGCACCCTACTGCTTTCTGACATTTCTCTGAAAACCTGTTTTTCAGAGCACTTAACTCTTGACTTTTCAGTAAGAGCAACCTCTGTGAAATCCTACATTCTATATATTTTGCACCCCAGACAGCAGAGCCCACCTGTGCTACTGGAGGGACAGGGACACTGCCCTGTGATGCCACCAGGGCAGCCCCAAGTCACAGCATCTTCTTCCAGTCAGGAAATAATTAAAACATTCAGGTCTTTACCTGAACTACACAGGGAAGTGCAATCACAGCTTGGGCAGTCCCTGAAGTCTTATATGTGATCCAGGGCTGGAATAATATTTATGTTCTGCTGTCACTTCTTTCTTTGTCCCACCCTAAGCTCACAGCTACTGCTTTTATGGGCCAGAAGTCCCTGGGTGAAACTGTACCCCTGCTTTTAGTTTTATGACAACCTGATCTGTTCACTTTAGTTACTACAGCAAAAATATTGCCCATCACATTTTGATTGAAAACTACCATTCTGACTGTTTTGTTGGCTGTCCTGAATGGCTTTTTCCCAGCCATTTTCCCAGTAAAATTTCCACCACTTTCAAACCAGGTAACAAGATACCTTCTACCAGCTGCACAGCTGACACTGCTGTTAACCTTCTTGGCACAGAATGAGCATGTGCTCATGAGGTATTAGTTAAATTATGATGCTTAATTTAAAGTTTGAGGCCAAAATAATGAAGAAGCAGCGACCCTGGAAACAAGCTACAGAAATAGCTGCATTTACTTAATGCAGTAGTGATGAAAACAGACCCAGTGTTTTTTTGAAAGAGATCACTTTAATGTTTGTGTAATCAGGACAGTGTAACCATTGTCATTTCTTAGCACCTTCAGACAGAAAACCACTGTGTCTACAAACACCAGTCCCCAAGCTCACGTGGTTTGTTGGATTCCTTCCTCCCCAGACCAGCTGTTTGCACCATCACCACCTGTAACAGAGCAGCAGGGTTAAGGTAACCACTCCACACCATCATTAACTCATTTGTTCATGCAGGAGATATCATCAGAAAACCTTTGCTCACCACCAGTCACTCTGCCGGTAATTCCAGCAATTTTTGGTTTGTTTCATCACATGATATCTTTGGGTAAATTGATACACTTCTGGCAGAAGCAACACCTTTGTCCCTTTGCTCTACATAGTGCTGTCAGCAAAACTGCAGCGCAGGAGAGCTGCTCTTACACCTCTACTGCCTCTATTTTAGTCTAAGAAAGTGGTTTTTTGGCCTAGAACTTCATTAATTATACATTTAGAGCTAAGAATATGCAGAAACACGTTCCTGAGACTGCAGCCATGTTAAACTAAGAGCACACTAACCATTAAACTCACCCAGGAGACTCTCCTGCTCTGCTGTCTCACCACCTTCCATAGGGCTTGTGAAGAGCTGTAACATCAATGGATGGACATTAGTAACAACCAGCACATGGCAGCACAGACCTGCAAGCTATACCTAAATACAGAGTTATCAAGAATAAGTATCAGGCTTTAAACTATAAAGAAGAGACGAGGGAAAGCAGATTGAGTCAAGCTGACAAAACACACCTATCAAGTTCCTTACAGCCTATGAAGCTCATTCATTCTCAAATTATATTTCCCCTGGCATAAAGCTCTATGTGTTCCAGTGAAATTCATTTCTTACCTTCAGATTTGGGCCATCCCAGAAGAGCAACCTGGCCCCATCCTGTTGTGTCACATCTATCTGAAAAGACCAGGCTCTGCAGGTCAAGTGGAACAGATGGGACACAAAGCTTGGTTAAACATTTCAAGAGCGCTTTTCACAGACAGCAAAGCAGAAATAAAAGTTGCCTGATTAGTTTTAGAAGACAGATTTCTGCATGTCTGTAGCTGTATTTCAGACAGTAAGAAGGGTATCGTCAGTTCTCGCATCTGACGGCACTTCCTATTCAGGGTTATCATCATCAACAGCCAGCAGCTTCTGCACCCCATCCTTTACAAAACAGGTTGTACAATTTCCCCTTTGTGTATAAGAGGCTTTAACTCTTTAACTTGTGGGTACACGAATTTTTATTTAGCTTGCTTTAAGGTGTAATTGTTACAGATTATTTTCGACTATTAGCGTTAAGTAAAGGCCTGGAACTTAACAGCTTGTGCATTTTAATAGAAAAAAAAAAATTAACTTACTCTTTACTTCAAGTCATCTTCCTGCTGTGGGGATAAAAGAGAAGTATTATTAGAATACTTTTCAGCAGTAATTTTAGATTTTAAGTATAAAGTTGGTTTATACAGGAAAAAAAAAAAATAAACCCCCCCACCAAAACCAGACCCTCATGACCAACACTCTGCTTTTAATTCCAGTTGTGTTTCTGTTGCTATTAATCACCGAAATATTTACATCAGAAAGGTTGTAGTAGTCGACAATCCTCTCTAAATTGTTTTTAGTGAGGAAATTTATACCTAAATTTAGAATAGTATATAAATGCAGCTTGCCAGACTGCATTTACCACTAGGGCAATTTTCAAAAACTGAAATTGCAGATATTCCAATTCTGAGTTTGTAATGTCTGTTGTGCAGAAAGGGTCTGGCACATCGAAAACCAAATAAAAACAGAGACTTATTCCCTGAAACAGCGCCATAAAAATCCACGGAGGGCACTGACTGCCGCGCACCCACCACAGCAGCGTTACCCCCAGAGCCCTCACGGAGCTCCGGGTAGTGATTTCCAGCCCCTCCTCCCGCCCGGCGGTACCTCACACACACACACAGTGCCCTCCCAGGGCCCCGACCGGGCCAAGCACCTCCTGACTTACCGAGAAGGTACATCCGCAGCTCCGGCGTGTCCCGGCCCCGATGTCGCCTCCATGGCTGCCTGAACGGATAGCGGCCTCAGGCGCCACGCTCCCCACCCCCCCGTACAATGGTCCGGCCCAGCCCACGCGGCCCAGCGAGGCACGGCGGCCGCCACCACTGCAGAGAGCGGGGAGGGGGGCCCTCCCTTCAGCCTGCTCAATGTTAAGGGCGCCTCGACCTACACGCCGGGCCACCGCCTCCCCCTGCCCGCCCAGCCGGCCCCCACCTGGGCCCCAAGCCCGAGCTGCAGGTCACGCGCAGCACCTTCACTCCACCAGGCGCATGGATCGAAAGGGCGGGAAGCCTCCAAGCGGCTGCTTATAAAGGCTTGGGACGTACCACCCCGCGGCGGGGGGGTGGGCTGGGCCACTCCTGCAGCCAGGCGGGGGTGCGCCGAGGCTTCCATTTCCTTCCGCGGGGCCAGGAGGGAACGTGGCGGGAGGAGCCTTGAGGTCCCCTCAGCCTCTAAAACCCGGCTTTAGGCACCACCTCGGCGCGCGGGAGAGCTGCCTTCAGCACGAGTGGGCAGGGACCTGGCCAGGCACAGCCCCACGTGCGGCAGCCAAGGCAGCACCAGCCCTTGGCGATCCGGCAGGACTGGAGCGGTCACAGTGATTCCAGACAACTTTTAATTTAGAACAGAACGGCTGTTAAAATAAAAGTTCTGTTCTCTTCACTTTATGCCATCTTGAACTGAAAATAAGGGGGTTTTGCTTTCCTTTTCCCTGTCAGGCACATCCCAACACCTTAGAAACAAACACAAACCCACCACCCTGTCAACGCCACATGTTCATTCTGCCTGAAGAACTATTTATCAAAAATACACCTTTTCAAAACAAAATCCTCCTACAAGAAGGACTACTGTGCTCCTATAATTAAAATTCAGACCAGTTTTTCCTCTGAGACACAGATCCATCCAGCAAGAGCCAAAGCCAAGATTCTCCTTGCAATTTTCAACATAAGTTCATTTCAGTAAACTGCACAGGTATCTCAGTGTCAGAACATTAATTTCTGCATCAAATTCTTGCAGGTGATTAATATTTGAGAATTCAGTGAAAAATCAAGAACATATTAGGTAAGGGCAAAACTTAGAACACAATTCTCTTTGCAATCTCTCCCCAGATCAAATAGATTTAACTTAAAATGTTGAGGAAAAAGCATTCGCTGAAGATTCAGTGCTCATTTTTTAATTATCAAATTCCCAGCAGCTCTTGTTCACATAACTAAGGAAGACCAAAGCTGGAAAGAATTCCTGGTATCAGCAAACACTTTTCAAGGCTCCTTTGTACATCATCAAAATGCAAACACTCAATTACAAAACCCTCTCTGTAGGTTCCCTCAACAGTAAACCCCTATTTTACGTACCTTCAACAGTAAACCTCTATTTTTCTTGCAGCTAAGCTACTGTGGTCTCAATAGCACATGTAACCCCCCCCAAATCATAAATACAATAGACCTGAATAATACAGAGGCACTTTTAAGGCACTGTTTAGGACAACCTGGAAGGCAGAACTGGTGTTCAAGGTGCCTCTTTCTCAACAAAAGGCCTGTGCCTACATGGCTGTTCTTTGATTTCACACATCTATTAGTTCAGATCTTTTCTATCAGATTCTCTATTCCCATTCCCAGTTAATTTATCCATCACCAGGCCCAAGTTATGAGTATTTACATGGAAACATAGTGGGGCACAAACCAGCTGCTGATCTTAAAAGACGTGCAAGGGTTCCCATCAAGGCAGAAGCCTGACTTCACAGACCAGTGGTATGATTCCCATCTACCACCTCCTTTCAGAAAAAGGAAAGGTCACAATGGCTTTAAAGCAGTAACACAACACAAGGTTTACTGGCAAAAAGACACTGGTTAAATAAACTTTATCAGGATCTTGAGAAATGGGTATGGTATAGGTATGGTTCTCTTGGAAAGCTTTGGGAAGGATATTAATGAAAGCACACGTTTAAAATGAGTTATTACAGTGATCAGACGTTGCAGTCATTTACTCTCAACAGTACTTTTATGAGACATTTATATATTCAATAATTAAATATAAAATCAAGGATGAGTGTCACAAAACAAGGAAATGGTAAGGCTTGAAGCCTGGTCAGCCCCCAGATTGCCCTTCTAGTCAATGTACCTTTCATTTTGCCTTTCATTTTACATGCTGCTATTCTTACACATAACAAAGCAGTAAGAAAAGTTAATTGCAGATTCCTTGCTGAAACCTCAAACCTACTTCAACTTAGTACAAAAAAAGGGGGGGAAAAAAAAAAAAAAGAGAAAACATTTGCTTGTTAAAAAGCAGGAACTGTAGGAGATATTCATAGACATTTTTGGACTGACAGAAGCGAGGAAATAGGGACAATGCAAACAAATTTTCAGACTATCAAAATGTAGCAGACGATGTTTTTGCTACCTGTTGTTTACCTGAATGTGATGTGCTGCATTATTCCTCACTTAGAATTACTGGCAACCAAAATAAATGCCCACAGGCAGCAAGAAAAAAAATGGCAGATGCACACTGATCAAACCCTTCTCCTGCCTAGGAAGGGAAAATGTGCAGGTAAAAAAGCTGAATGTAACAAGTCAACCATGTCCACATCCACATGTACTACACAGGAAGAACATTCAAAAGTATTGACATGAGACAGTGATCCTATAGTTTTCCTTTTCTCTTTCAGTTATATATATATAGATAAACAGCACATAGGAGAACACCACTAGAGCTTTCACCGTGGCCAACAGGAAAATTCTCACAAATATAAAAATGTATACTTTCCAACTGTTAAGAGTGCTGCAAAACATAATCCAGGTGAAATGGAAGAAATATAATTTCTCATTGTGTAAAAACAACAACAACAACGAAAAACCAACCCCCTGGGGATTTACACAATTCTCAAACATCCAACTTTGCAGTCCTGAACATCTCAATCCCTACTACAGCAGGACGTGGTATCACCAAAATAAATGAGAATTCCTTGAGAGTGGTCATACCACTGGGATACATGAAATTTAACTGTACTAAAATATTATTTAACTTGGATTTACATTCAGTGTTTTGGAGGAAGGGAATGTGATAATCCCTTCATGCTTTATCCTTGCTGGCTGCCCACCCAGGAAGCATTTTTGTTATTACTTCAAGAGGAAAGGAAAGGTGCTGGTAAGAGCCAGAAGGGCAAGGCAATGATCTTGATCATGAGCCCTGTTCTTTGGATGAAGTGTGTAAAACATTTTGTTAAAAGCCTCCATGATGAAAATATTAAGAACAAAAAGGTCTCATTAAAAATACAGGGCATTTCTGCCTCTTCTTTTAAGTTCAGAGCTCGGGGGAAAGTGTTTTGCTAGAATTAACTACAGGTTTGCTGTAATAAACATATATGACAATGCCCTACATAACACAGGGCCAACCACAGACTCCAGACAAAGGTGATTGCTTTAGGTTTCAAGTGGTTTATGCATCTCTTTTTGTATAAAAGGAACAGAGACACTTCTGGGACCTTCACTGCAGAGCCTTTGCCAGTGTCCAGCTTGTGGGCAAAGGAAGTCTTGCCACACTGCAGAGTCACAATCTTGAGGGTGAGGACGTAAAACCCATCATGATTCAGAGTCTGAGCCAGAACTGCTCTCTCGGCTGATTTCGATTTGTAGGGAAGGTAAATTATCCAACCGACTCTTTTTTTGCCGAGACTGTTCTTTTTCCTTAATGAGAGCCCCCCAGACCCGCTGCAGCTCGGAATCCTCTTCCTCTGGAGAGGCCGCAGAGTTTTCAGCTTTATCTGAAGTCTTTTCTTGTGTCTTCGGAGCAGACCCCAATCGGGTCCATAAATTACCTGATCAGATGAAAAACAAACATTTAAAAAAAACCCCAAAAAAACAGGACTAAGGAATTCTGGGTGAGTCAAGGAATCAAATCTTAAATTCACTGCATCCCTTTAAACCCCTCATACTCCTTCCACCTTAATGTCTGCATGGAACTAATTCTGCTTTGAAGCAGGAGTTGAAATTAAACTGCAGGAGGCTCAGGGCACTCATGTTCACTGTTGCCCATTTGCAGAGAATTCTACCCACAGCACTGAAGTGCCACTGCACTCATTACACTTGTTTTAGTGCCCTGTTTTGACCACAGTTTTAAAGTGGTCCTTGACTTTTCAGCATACCTCTATAAAAATACTGCTCAGAAACATTCCCAGCTCCTACCTACAAGTATTTAGATTTCAAAGCTCTGAACAAACACTTGCCAATTTATAAGTTGAATTTCACTCAGCTGAACCTCCTTCATGACTTTCTGCTGGAATCCCTCTCATACTCCAGAATCAGAGGAATTGCATTATTACACTTTCTCCACAGAACTAACCTGATTTCTTCTCTCTGGTGTCAGAGTAGAGGCCTTTCACATCTTGTTTGGGGATTCCTAACCTGCTGTGGACATCTGAGATTGGTTCCCGACGAGGAGCAGAGGTACTACTTGGAGGTTTAGTTTCTGGAGAATGTGGCCTTTTTCCCAGTCTTTGCCGCACATCTAGGGATGAATTCAGTGATTAAAATGACCAAAAACTCATGTTGCATTTACTCCAGCCCTGCCAGCTGATTTTATGCTTGTTCACAATTTGTACAACTTAAAACCACAGCATTTGTTTAGTTTCATCTTTTCTACAGTCTTCTCACTTAAGTCTTTCATAATCAGATTTCAGTCCTGGCAATGTCTGCAGTACAATTCATCCAGATTTCATTTCATTTTTGGCAATAAATTTGACACTTAATGTTTTCAGGTTGTGCTCGGTCCAAAAGATCAGAAAACTAAGTTATTCCATGGCTTGCTGCATTTCTGCTTTAGCAGCACAGCATGAGATAAGATTCCATGAAAATAAGTATATATTCAGTAATTCTTTTCAGATAACAGATACCTTGCTTTAGAATTCTAATACTTCTTGATATTTTGCAGAACAAAATGAAAACCAGAATATAAGAATCCTAAATATATTGACACTTAGCCTTTGATTTGAATCTTGCATTCTGAACTTTGGTTTAGCCAGATGTTCCTTGTCTCACAGGGGGTTCAAACAAAAATATGAAGGCAAAGGGAATTACAGAACTTTTGTGCCAACTTGTCAGAGGTCCAAAATAGGCATAAGGGGCAAAATATACTAACAAAACTTTGACATTACACTGATACAAAAGCATATCTTTCCCTTATCAGTCAGATAATCCTCAGAATATTAAGTCAGACGTAGATGAAATCATACACACTTGAGTCAAAAAAACAACAGGCAAGTAAGCTCAGAAA